TGCGTCCTGGCCTACACAGGTGAGCCACTCCATCGGCCTGGACCCACCAGAACCCCGCAGCTGGGCCACCAGCCGACCTTCCTCCTCCCAACCCCAGAGGACACCTGACCTTACCCAACCCCTAAACCAGCCTGCGGTCATAATTGCCCCTGCCGCCCACCCCGCCCCCATCCACATCCAACACAACCCATCTTCTGGCCCTCCTCCCTTTTCCCCGCCCCCTCATCCCCTCCGGGCGGGCGTTATCCAATAGCGTGTTGGCCTACGGGCCGAGGACGACAAAAGCAACCAATTGTGGGGGAGCTCTCCGCTTAAGGGTCCCGGCTCTACTCTGAGAAGCAGCTCTTTTGACCAATGAACTGCCCCCCGATTGCACTAAGTGCACAAGGCGAGTAGAGTAGCGGCTGGGATGCCCAATGAATAGGCAGGTTTTCGCGGTTGGGGGCGTGGTAGAGGCGGTCGTCAGGGGCGTGGCGGCAGTTGCCTGGGCGGGGCCGGTAGCGGCGGGAGCTGCTCTGGCCAGGGGTTCCGGCTGCATTTCCATGAGCGCAGCCGGCAGCCGCGGAGCTACAGGAAGCTGAGTAGGAGCGAGCTGGGCCGCTGTGGTCAACCACGCACAGGTAAAGCCGCGACCGAGCGAGCTACGCGGAGCGGGGATCGCGCCTTAGATCCGCCAGGCCAAGCCCTTGAGCCCCGCGGTCCCCGGCGTGGCTCGGCCCACCGCGCCGCAGCCTGAGAGCCCCGGATCCTTGGGGATTCTCGGGGGCCTGTCACCTGGCGCCGCGGGGTTCCCCAGGGCCGGCTTGATAGTGGCAGGGGCAGCCGACACCTCAGTGGGGTCCGCCTTCTCGGGAGCCCTTTGTCCCCTCCCGCCCCGGGGAAGAGGTTTGGACAACCGCCGCCGCGGCCTCCTGGTACTGTCCGCCGGTGGATGCGCCCCGCTGGGGCCTCTGGGGCCTGGGGAGGGGTCTGCTGGTCCAGGTTTGGTGGAGAAGGTCCGGGACCCCCACCTGGAGGGAGAGGGCCGAGGGGCCCCGGGTGCCTGAGAGGCCTCCGTGTTTCCGGGCTCCGGAGACGCATCCAGGACCAATGAGTTCAAGTTCCAGGAGGCCGGTGTTGGTCCATTGGAGGCGCACTTACTGAGCTGGGCTCCTTGCGGGGCACTGTTCTAGGAGCTTCGTGGGCTTCCCCCACAGCGAGAACTGCCCAGCAGGGGAAGGGAGTGCCTGCCAGGACACGCAGCTGGCGCCTCGACCTTGGAAGTGTCCAGGCAGAGCCCGGGGACAGCCACCTGTGCAGGATGCTCGGGGAGGATTCCCAAGGGAGGACTGCATGCCCCATCCGTAGAGCCTTTCTCCGTCCACTCTGGGTGACCCTGAATGCCTGGCTGGGGGAAGTTACCTCGGGGTCCACCAGGTTCAACGTGGATGCTGATGTCCAGTTCACCCGTCATGAACTGGGAGGTTCAGCTCTCCAGAGTGTTAGCAAAGAGAATGGGTGTTTACCAAAAGACAGGTTTATTTCGCCGCTGTGAAGCTCCTTAATTTGAACCGCCCAGGCTCTTATCCTTGGCAGTTCCCCTGCGTTGGTTGCAGCACCTCCAGTTTGTCAGTTTCACCCGCAGTCCAGGAGCCCAGCAGAGCGATCTCGAGAGGATGGCAGATTTGGCAGAATCAGTGTGATGTGCACCTGAGCTTTCTGAGGGCCAGTTCATCACAGCAACTTTAAGCAGGGCCCAAAACAGATAGCGTCTGCTTGCCCCTTCTCTCCCTCTGCCACTGGCCTGAATGGAGAGGACAAAATTTCCTGAAGGTCAGGACTCTGAGACAGAAGGACTCTTAACACATCTTGCTGTGTGTTTGGGGATCAGTCAACCTTGGACTAGTCCATCAGAAAGCAGATCAGCCCATGTACTGCTGACTGCTGATCGTTGGCATGGACTGGACACTTTAGAGAAAGCCCATCTAATTGAGTTTCCTGAGCACACAGGTGAGGAAACAGGATGGGGGTGGTCCCAGTCTGGCTGATGGTCAGAGTTGGGACTAAGGGTTGATTGTTGGACCCTGGATCTGGCCAGTGCTGGCATGACTTGTAATTCACTCCCAGCTTAGTTCTCTCACCCTACAGGAACCCAGAGAATAAGAGCACAGATTTTGGTGCCTAAATGCCTGGATTTAAATCCTTGCCCTGCCTTTTGCTGGCTGTGTAAACACTGGCACAATACTAAAGCTCTCTGCATGTGTGCCTGTTTCCTTACCTTTGAAACCGTAATAATAATGCTATTTCCTTTAGAAGGTTTTTTTTTTTTTTTTGAGGGGTGCGTGAGTTGCTCTGTCTGAAGTACTTAGTGCCTGACAGACAGGAACTACTAGGTTTTTTGTTTTGCTTTGTTTTTTTTGACAGGCAGAGTGGACAGTGAGAGAGAGAGACAGAGAGAAAGGTCTTCCTTTGCCGTTGGTTCACCCTCCAATGGCCGCCACGGCTGGCGCGCTGCGGGCGGCGCACCGCGCTGATCCGAAGGCAGGAGCCAGGTGCTTATCCTGGTCTCCCGTGGGGTGCAGGGCCCAAGCACCTGGGCCATCCTCCACTGCACTCCCTGGCCACAGCAGAGAGCTGGTCTGGAAGGGGGGCAACGGGGACAGAATCCGGCGCCCCGACCGGGACTAGAACCTGGTATGCCGGCGCCGCTAGGTGGAGGATTAGCCTATTGAGCTACGGTGCCGGCCAACCACGCATTTTTTTTTTAAAAGATTTATTTATTTGAAAGTCAGGATGACAGGGGAGGAGGAGATAGAGAAGGAGAGAGACAGAGGTTGAGATCTTTCATCCTCTGGTCTACTCCACCAAATGCCCACAACGGCCAGGGCCGGTCAAGGCCCAAGCCAGGAGCTCCATCCAGGTCTCCCACGTGGATGGCAGGGGCCCACTTTAGCCATCTTTCACTGCTTTCCCAGGCACGTAAGCTGGGAGCTGGACTGGAAGCAGAGCACCCAGGACTCATTCCAGTGCTCTGGTGCGGGCTGCCAGCATGGCACACAGCAGCTTAACCTGCTGCACCACACACGACACTGGCCCCATAGCACTCAGTATTTTCTACTAAGAGCTGAGTTCTTCCCTTGCCTCTCTCCTACCCAATTCATTAAATGTATTCCAGATTTCATTTTATCAGAGACATCTGCAGAGTTTCCAAGTCACATTCCATTTTCTTATTTATTTTTCCATCTTTTATTGAATCAGGTAATTCAGTTTCTGTGTTATACCTTCCCTTGAAATCATACTCTTTTGAGATACACATATTTTGTATTCTCTTTAAAAGGGGGAGAAGGACCTTCAGTTGGTAAACAAAGTCCTTGATGATGCTACTCTCCACGATGTCCTTCCAAATATGCACTCCCTGTTCAGCCTTGCTCCCAGTTGTCAGTGTGGTGCAGCTTGATTATAAATGTATGAACATTTTTAGATTAAGATTTCATGAGCCACTGTATTAAGTGCCTTTCGGAAGTCCAAGGATCGTGTGTCAAATGCATTTAAGCAAGTTCCTTAGTCATTGGAGTAGGGGGAGCACCAGCAAGTCTGCCTGGCCTGCCAGAAACAGAAGTGTGTGAGTGCCTCTTGCTGGTGATCCGTCTTGTTCACTGGTTTATTTGCATTTTTCCTGTTCTTTTCCGAGAGCTTGAAATAAACCAGATGGCAAGTGCAGTGGAATGGTCTTTTCCCACTCATTTTAGCTTTGTACTTTCAATTCCTTTATCTCCTTCACACTGTGACTACTGGCCCCTCTCAGTTTGCTAGCCTCCTCACTTATAATGGAAAGATGCCTGTCATCTTTATTCTTTTGCAGAAATCCAGTCTAGATTGACATGGAGATTAGAAGTATTCCTTGATTGGCCCTTTCTTTTGCTTTATTTTTCTGAAGAGTTGATTCTGAGTTTTGATTTTTTATTTTTATTTTTATTTATTTATTTTTTTTGTATAGGCTATCCTAGCTCCTCGGCCTTTTCAGAGTAGTTTTTTGTTTCTCTGCTTTTGTATCAGCGTGGTCCCCTTTTCCTCTTGCTGTCTTTTCCTCTGAACGTGTTGGTGGGGGGGCTTCTCCCTTGCTGTTATTCCTTGCTTCTTTCATACAGCTTTCTCCTGGTAACTGTAGCTGGGCCCACCAACAGCATACTGGTTCCCACAGCCCTCATGCAGAACTTCTACCCTAAGCACAACATAATTTATTTGGTATAGAAGATAGAGGAAAGTCTGTCTTATTTCTTGCCTAAAATTTGGCTCTTTGAGAAGCTCCAGTCAAGAGACACTTGCAATATAATGAAAGGGCATGTCCTGCTGCTTATAATATTCTGATTCTTATTGTGTTGTGTGTTTTGAGTACTACTTGACCAATTTAAGAGTGTGAGTGACGTGCAGCATGAAGTGTTTAGGTTTTCCTATTTCATTCTGGGCTAAACTCACCCCAGGAATAGAGGGTGTTGGGAGTGCAGGGTGCCTCTTGATGTGGTCTGGCATCAGGATTTCACATCAGCTTTTCATGGCCCAGCCCTTTTTTTTTTTTTTTTTTTTTGACAGAGTTATAGACAGTGGGAGAGAGACAGTGACAAAGGTCTTCCTTCTGTTGGTTCACTCCCCAAATGGCAGCTACAGCCAGCACTGCGCTGATCAGAAGCCAGGAGCCAGGTGCTTCCTTCTGGTCTCCCGTGCGGGTGCAGGGCCCAAGCACTTAGGCCATCCTCCACTGCCCTCCCGGGCCACAGCAGAGAGCTGGACTGGAAGAGGAGCAACCGGGACTAGAACCTGGCACCCATATGGGATGCTGGTGCCACAGGCAGAGGATTAACCAAGTGAGCCACACGCAGGCCGGGTCCAGCCCTTTGGCCCAGCATGTGATTAAGGATTTTTTAACCCCTGTGCTGCTGTTTCTGTATTGATAACACACAGGTGCTAACACTGTCACCCTTAAAAGTTCTGCAGATTTCTTTTTGTTGTCTTGATTCCAGGCCATCATGTTTGGGGATTAAACATTTCTGTTTACCAACTGGCTAGTGTGACAGATGGTGAGCGCCACTGTTACCCGTGAAGCATGTGCACTGGACCCAGTTGGGTGGCGGCTTCTTACACGGGGACCCATTTTCTGATCTTTTGCCGGAGTTAAGTAGCCATCATGTAAAAAAAAAAAAAAAAGCTCATTAAAAAATGGAACATTGATACCCTGGGGTTTGCCTGGTTTTTGATTTCCCTTTGTTGTCTTTAAATGAATGTTCATTAAGGGCAACGAACCAGGCATCTGGTGTGTGACAGAAGCACAGTTGACCCGATTAACGAGTGTGTTTGGTTTGCTGCAAAGATAATTTTGTTTTCAAATTGTTTCTATTTAAAATTTTTATGATTTTTGGTGTTTTCAACTCTAATTTATATATATAACCAATGCATTCACGTGGTGAAAGATTGGGTAGTAAATGCAGCTCTGTCCACCCCTGACCTCTGCTACCTCGTTTTGCCTCTCAGAGGCAAGCTGCATTTTCCTGATGTCTTCATCCTTCAGAGGTGGCTCGTGCCCTTCCGAGATGTTTTATGCATCCAGAAGTAAATTCCTGTGAATATTCTGTACACACACACACGC